AATCTCTTATGTCTTTTGGCATGTTACAATGAAAGAGAGGTTCGTTATTTGGAATTAAAGAACCGGCTAGGGTTTGTGCATGCCAGAGCCCTGTGTTTCTAAAAAATCCAACTTCTCAAGGGCATTCCTCTATCTAATCACGGCCTTTCTCTTTTTGCAGCGTTAATCATGATACTTCTACTCTTCCTTTTTTCCTTTCTATCGCCTTAAAGTTGATATCCATATGTTCTTTTTTCTGTATGCATGTAAATATGTAATTGGATAAAAGGCTTACCTTTCTTTAAAGAACCCAGAGGCTGTGGTATCTCCAATGGGGCAGGTCCCTTGCTTGGAGGCTCTGGATCCCATTCTTTTCTTATGAATTTCAATAATACGTTCCTCCTTTTCTATTCCAGGTGACTTGGGACAGACATATAATTCCCTGTCTACACTTGAGCATTATATGCAGAGTGGAGCTCAAGCGGTATTATTTGTTGGAGATCTTGCTTATGCTGATAGATATAAATACAATGACGTTGGTATACGGTGGGATAGCTGGGGTCGTTTTGTTGAGCGCAGTGCAGCATATCAGCCATGGATGTGGTCTGCTGGAAATCATGAAATAGAGTACATGCCTTACATGGTACAGTGTTCAGTCATTCATCATTTTGCACTGCTTTCTGTCATGATGCCATCATTCAGTTTTTAACTTAACTTTTCGGTGCTATGAGAACTTCCAGTCTATCTTGAATTCCTGATATATGCTGTCCATTGCACAAGAAATATTTGTGTACAGATACAGCAAGCACCTGGACCATTTTTAGATTCTATTTCTTTTTCCATTGCTGCTATACTGCCACGATTATCATGATCCCACGAGATTTTATAGTGATCCATGCTGAGTAATGTTGTCTAATGAATAAAGGAACTTGCATACTGAATTGGTAATACTGACAGTAAACATTTTCTGGACCGTTTACAGGTTATTGCTTCTCGTTGTTCCTACAGTACCATTGTTCTCATTCCATTCCATAAGCATGGAATAGGCTTGTGGACACATGCAAATTTTTTTTTACTTGATCTTTTCAATTTCTGTTAGTTATTTTTCCTTGTGTATATCCTTGTTGCTTATTATAAACCCCCATATCCAGCTACACCTATATATGATTTAACTAACCGTACCATTGAACCTACTGTAACTGCTTTTCCCCTAATTTTGCAAAAACATTTAGTCCTTAAGAAATGAAATATCAATAAGTCAAAGAATACAGCAAATTTACTGACAGTTTTCATGACAAGACATGAGTTTCAGCTTCTGTGTGTGGACCTTAATAACCTAAATAATTTGTTAGGTGTTTTTTGTCTCTTCTTTTCCTTTTTTGTTTTATTTCATACATTCAGCATGCAATGCTTGGCAATATAGTTCACATGTAGAAATCTGTTTTCCTTAGAAGTTAAAGTTCCTGTCCAGTTCCTAATTCTTTACAATTGTAACATATGTTCAGGGAGAAGTTATTCCTTTCAAATCTTATCTTAATCGATACCCTACTCCTCATTTAGCCTCCAAAAGCAGCAGCCCTTTCTGGTATGCCATCAGACGTGCATCTGCTCATATAATTGTGCTGTCCAGCTATTCTTCTTTCGGTAACTTTTCATTCCCTTCTCTACATTGATATCAATTCAGCAGTCATCCTATGGTCCCTTGTTTTATGGATCCACACTAAAGTAGTCCAATGAATCACAATCTATTCCTCTCCTACCTCACAGTGGGAGTTCACTAATTTTCAATGACATAATTTATCAGCATAAACAAGAGTATTTTCCATTCTCCCATCTCATAATTTACTACTTCAGAACCTTATGTGATTGATATTAATTCACTAATTTTCAATGACATAATTTATCAGCATAAACACGAATATTTTCCATTCTCCCATCTCATAATTGACTACTTCAGAACCTTATGTGATTGATATTGATAATGTCAATCACATACGGTGAAAGGTTTTGATAAGGTTCTTTGACCATCATGATTCTGGAAGTCTTGGCATCCTCTTAAAATTTCCTAAGGAAACTATTTTATAAGTAACAGGTGAAAAACTTCTCTTTAAATCGTGGCCAAGTGCAGTGTCAAGGAAACTTTACGATTTTAATGTTAGTCATAGGACAGTCTCAGATTAGAGTGTTCGTATGGTAAAAATTCCTATTGTTCAATTTGCACCATGGGTGCTGGACCTATTCATAAGGTCGTTCATTGTTACTGCACTTTGTGCAGCAGTTCCCCTTGGCCTTGCTATAGAAATATTGCATAATGCTGGAAGAGGGAAAACTAGCTACACAATTTGTCTCAAGCACGTTAAAAGCATGAGTCATCGAATTGTCTTACAATGCCTACACTTTTGATCTCTTCCCAGCAGTCATATTGTCTCAATTTGTCAGGTTAGCTAGCATCTCCTACCTGATTTTGTAGCATCTATTGTGCTGCCCCTGAAAATCCACGAGGACCATCTACATTCCGTGGAGGATATGCATTATCATTAAAAGTGAGGATTTTTAGCGGGAGTATTTGTAGTATTTTTCTTCCTTGTTCTTTCAACATGTTGTTACCCGCTATGATTTGAAGACCTTGGTGTATAAAAATGTTAAAATGGGGACTGCCTGAAAACTACCAAGCGAAATCAGTGCATTCCACAAACGTGTCTTCTGAGATGCTTGCGTTAAAATTATGTTTCAAGTAAAATTCTCAGCAAATACAAGTAGTTTGACCTCTCTCGCTAAAACCAAAATGAATAATTAAACCCCTGTGACATAGAAATGTATAGCGTTCTTTTTAAGGGAAGAGCTGTGTGATTTATATCCCTTAGTTTATTTGAACTTTTGAACAGTGAAATATACCCCTCAGTGGGAATGGCTCAGAGAAGAACTTAAAAGGGTTGACAGGGAGAAGACACCTTGGCTCATTGTTCTTATGCATATCCCCATCTACAACAGTAACGAAGCACACTTCATGGAAGGTGAAAGTATGCGGGCAGTCTTTGAGAAGTGGTTTGTTCGTTACAAAGTTGATGTAGTTTTTGCTGGGCATGTCCATGCTTATGAAAGATCAGTATGCTTCTTTCCTCATATGTTTTTCCCTTTGTTTTACAATATGGTTGCTAATGTTTGTATGTTAAGATCTCAGAAAAAAAAAAATTCTCGAAGAAACCGTTTGGTGGTTCATTCAAAATCCAATTGACTTTTAACTTGTCATCAACTAAACAAATTGTAATTCCGAAGCACAGTACTTTTGATCATCATTTAGTCATGCTAATTAATATATGTTGAATGTATGTCATGAATTTTGTTTTACAATTTTATACAATTCCATTGACAAATATCTTTCGTTAGACTAGAAGAAAAGCACCGTTTTTCATAAATTGTTTTTACCAATTTCAGTATCGAGTCTCAAACACACGCTACAATGTATCTAGTGGTGACCGTTTTCCGGCAGCAGATGAATCTGCCCCTGTCTACATTACTGTCGGAGATGGAGGAAATCAAGAAGGTCTTGCCGGAAGGTAACTGAAGCTACTCGGGGAAAAGATTTAGAGAACACTGCTGCTGGTGGTGTTAAATAATTGTTGCCTTCATCCTGCAGGTTTAGAGATCCACAACCAGATTACTCGGCATTCAGAGAAGCCAGTTATGGGCACTCTACATTGGAGATAAAGAACAGGACACATGCAATCTACCATTGGAATCGCAATGATGATGGGAAAAAAGTGCCGACTGATGCATTTGTCTTACACAACCAGTACTGGTAAGTATAATTTACCACTTTTTTCCATGCACCACCAATGTAACAGCAATTGTGTTTTTGGCCGAAATGGACACGTTTTCTGCTTCTGAAAAATCAGATGTAAGCAATGTTCTCTAAATTGTCATTTCTGGCAACACTGATATTCGTATGAGAAGAACATGGAACCAGGGGAGGTCTATGTGTGTGGTTAACATGTTAGTCCTAAAATTCTGGAATATTTTTAATCATATCCTTTATGTTTAGGCTTATTTTATGGGAAATATATATTTTTTACCCCTAAAAATCATGTATTATCTTCATGGCTCCCCTTTTATTACTTTATTTTCAAGTTTATCCAACTTTTTTTCGTATTGCCCCCACCAAACCTCAAATTCTTGTTCTACCCCTGCATGGAATAATTAACGGAGAAAGCCAGCTTGTTAGCATTTATTTGTTTTTGTGATGGAGTATTAACAATATTGATGTTGAAGATACGCTGACAAGGGCATGTTATCCTATCGAAAGGAATAAATAATTACAGTAGTAAATATTCATAATAGTTAGAAATTTAAATTTACTCACAAATCTAGCCTTCATAACGAAGAAGTCTAACTTGAAGTCTAAAACTATTATGCACTGACAATAAATCATCCATATCAGAATGTAATCAGAGTTTTTATTTTATCTTGCTAATGAAATAATTTAGAAAGTTGGGCTGTGTCAACACAGGGGAAGAAATCTGAGAAGAAAAAAATTGAAGAAGCATCATTTGAGAACTGTTGTTGGCTGGGTTTCAAGTTACTGACAATATTTCAAGAACTCGGGAAGCTATCTCCAGATTTATTCGGCAAGATTGATGGAAATGGAATGCTAGTTAATCAAGCATTCTGAATGGAGATTCATTTTGATCCTGCAATTGTAATAGTTCCTCAACAAAAACACATGGATAATGCCTGTCCTGTGAGTGCAATATCCTGTCTCATAAATGCACAGAATCCAGTGAAATGATCGAAGTGTGCAGATTATGCTATCAAGGGCTTTTTTCTTTGCAAGCAAATGCATTATATTAACATGCGCCTAGTCCAGTTTAGCATTGGAAAAACCTCTACAAGATATTGATATCGCAAGCATTAATCTTTTACCATGAGTCATTATCCAAAAAAATAAATAAGAACTGCATAACTGGAAAGATAATTTCCCTTAATGCAAATAATTCCTTTCCTTAATCATCAAAAAACCACCAAATCATGCATTGGCTCCCATTTACGAAAGTTTGACTCTTTTTGATTGTGCAACCCTGTTCACAGGAGTTCAATTACATATTAGGAATATTTGTATGAGAATCCTCTTTAATGAAACAAAATCTTCTGAGCTTCGTCATCATTCAAGCCCTTTTTACAATTGATGCATTGTAATAACCACACAATGGGATTCTTTCCATTCATGAAAAGATACTACATTAATTCAAGACTCAATAAAAAGAGGAACATTTTTCACAATCTTTATGCCAAACTAAACTCAAGCTTGACCTTTCTTGAGTTCTCAATGGAAACGGTTGGTACAGAAAGGTGCCCCTCTGAGGGTTCTAGCATATCAGCAACCTCGGAAGGAACACCTCATAGAGATGGTAGTGAACTAGATCAAACAGAGATGGTCAATACGAATATGAAAGAGAAAGTTGTCCAAGGATCTGAACCAGCCCTCCTTCCCAAATCGAGTGCTCGTGTTTTGCTGGATTTGAAGCTTTCTAGAGATAATTCGATCCGCGGGTCGAAGCTAGAATTCAATCTATTTAGCCCCATGAATGTTGGTTCTTCTCATGCTAAAGAGTCTACCGATGAGACCTTGAAGCAAACCGAGTCTAGGGTTTTCCCTTGCAACTTTTGCAAAAGAGAGTTCTCCACATCCCAAGCCTTAGGTGGGCATCAAAACGCACACAAACAAGAGAGGACACTAGCCAAGAGGCGTCAAGAGATGGATGTGGGTGCTTTAGTACACTTGCCATATTATCCCTATTCAAGCCTCTCAACAAACCCATATTATGGATCTTTAAATAGGTCACTTGGTGTACGGTTGGATTCCTTGATTCACAAGACATCGCCTCCTTATTCATGGACATCCCCCATAGGGCTTCGCTACGGTGCCCATGGTGGCTGGTCCGGGCAAACTACGATGAATACACAACCTTCGAATGGTAGACTAACGACAGAGAGTTTGGATGCTTTTAGTGGTGGATTTGGAATTTCTAGTTCCTCATCTTCTTCAAGGTTTGAGGACAATCTACTTCGAAATTTTGGTTCTCCTCCATCATCCAATAGTGTTGCAGTCAACAAGCCTCCCGGTACTGATCATATGCGGCAAACTGACCTTCCAAAAAGTTATCAAACAGATGATTCGGGACTTGATTTGTCACTCAAGCTCTAGAAAATTAATTAATATTGTCTAGTAGAATACTACAAGCATGCTAGTTGTTTATGCTTGTTCTATTTCTATTTGTTTTTATTCATCATGTGCTTGGATTTCACATTGAACTAAAGATACGTACAAAAACATGCTTAGTTATTTCGTTGTCTTCTTTGGTTTCTAATTTATAAATGTCAATGCACAATTTTCCCTCTCTCCATATGACCTTGCGAAACTAGATGCATGGGATCTTAATTACTGCATAAAGGTCGACCTTCATGATCTTTCCCTACTTATGTTTTGTATTTTTCTAAGCATCAGAGTTTCCCCCTTTTATATAGGCCATGCGAGCAATCACACCTTCTCTAAGATCAATCTTTCGCCAATGTTAGATGGGTATTTCGTCGCTAGGTTTTTGAAGAATTTTAGTCGGAGCTCTACTGCTAATTAATGAAATCAATTCGGGAGAGATGGAAACTTAAATATGGGATTTTGATACAGAAGTTGTAGTTTGTTTTCTTGGTTGAGCATCCGTTTGATTCTAAGAAGGGTGGCATGCATGCACCAACTCTTAATTTGTGCACAATATTAACACGCCATTTTAGAGCCATAAATTGAGATTTCCTTCCTGTTCTTCATTAGAAGCAACTAATCATAAGATCCAGTGCATGATATTGATGCTGTATTGGCATCTTCTGGGATAATATGAAACGAATAATTTCACGAGTTAATAAGGGTTTATTTTATTTTATTTTTTATATATATAACGATAACGTATATCCCCAACCATTTTAGGCATCGGACAAGACTAAGTCTTCTTTTCAAAGGATCGCCCTTCACATCAGTTTATTAATTATATCCAAGAAACTAAACCTTTTTAGTTATTGACAACAAGATTTTAGTTTAGTGTATTTGCCTAGGATATGTTTATTTATTAAAAAATTGAATTTATTTTTATTTTTAATTATTTTTTTTATCATTTTGATATTAAAATAATTTTTTAAAAATAAAAATATATTATTTTAAAATTTTCTAACTAATAAACATTTTAAAAAATATACTTGGAAAATCAAGAAAGAGAAGAAGTCTTTTTGATCACTATGCCTGTCTTTCAGAGTTGTATAAAATGGATTATATGTAGTGCCCTCAAATATATTCCTCAGACCAGTTTTTAAGTACTATTGAAACTAAGTACTTCATGATATTAATTTATTCACTTTTATTTTTTCCACGGCCTCTCTTTGAATTAAAATCTTTAATGATAACAAAATCAACAAAATCATTTATCATTTAAGTCAACTGTAAAAGATAATATTTTCTGTAACGTTAGGATCAATTAATGTAGAGAACAACTGTCTTAACGTGTGATTCATCTATATATATATATATGTTGAAGCGAAATTAACCTTCATGTCCTTGAGAGCTGAGACACACACAGAAACACAATATGTATATTTGATGATGTTAATTTCTTGATTTTTTGAAAAAACCTAAGATACAGAATATCGAAAAGATATTCAAAAACAATTGAAGTGAATAGGCAAGATTTTCAGAACATAAATAGCTTATCAGCACTTTATTTTGATTATAAAAGCTCAAAAATTAATTATGAAAAGCAATCCCCAGCGCCCCATTTTCGTAGATAGAAAATACGAAAAGCTCGATCACGTTGTTTTATGATGGTTAAAAATAATTAAGCACATTTTTTTTTTAAAAAAAATAATAATTATCTTCCAAATATATTCTTTACATATATATTCTATACACACTTGGGTTTTTACATGAGTTAACATTATTAGTGTTATTGCATATATATAGAGAACCCACATGAGGCATCCTCGTTCAATGGTTGGAAAAGGTTTCGAGTGATTGGATTCTGACAAGGTTTTTGTTAGTTTTCAGTCCTGGATGAGTAGGGGAACTGGTTGGCATTGTAGTATTTGTAAGAACTTACTAAGTATTAGTTGCCTTCTAATATGAATTGGTTTGCTACCAGAAACAGTCAGGAATAATGGAATGTTGCTAGTTTTTTTTAAAAAAAAGTGGAATAACTTCAATCATGGGAATTAGCATCATTGCCGAGGAACATTCAACTGGTGGCTTGTCCTGTGACAATCATACAATCTAATGGTACAGCACTTCCTACTGTCCTCTCGACCAATCTACCTGTTCGGTATACTTCTTCAATCCCTTTTCCTTTAGACCACTGCAAAAAGTTATTTACACTAAAGGTGTTTCCTCGCATATACAAGGCACGAGATTTATTAACTGGTTCGCAAGAATGACAGTAATGTTCTCTGTATGCATCTATGGGGTGGGTAGAAGAAAAGCCTCTTTCAAAAGGTTCGCCGACTGGGGTCTGCTACTCGACGGGTTCACTCAAGAATCGCGATAAATATGCTGTGGCGACCACTTGAGGTGCAAATTTAATCTTCCGGATTTAGCCTCGTCAAGTTGGAAGCAATCTTTGTATTCGCCTTCCAATAAAACCCTGGTCAAAGTCAGGATGCATCTCCCCATATAATCCTGAAGTAAATACAATCAAGCCCAAACATGGTGTCAGCACTCATTACAGCAACACAAGGTCAACAAAGACATGCAGCACAATGCAGGAGTCTATAAATCCATCGAAGCAACTAGATTTGTGTTATATATCAGGATAGCTTTCTGTTAAAAGTTTGAAAATGCCAAGCACCAGATATCCCGATGGAAAAAGTGCGCTCAGGCACCACGACAGCACTCCCATAGTGAGATTTGCACGTAGCAGTGGTTTAGAGACCAATATTTACTTGGTATTAAAGCCACTCATTTGGCCAATATGTTTAACATTAGAAAATTAATAGACAAGATGGACAAGGAACCGTATAAGCATCCAGTTCAGAAGTCAGCCCCACCACATAATTACCAACACGTTAATTTTGGAGTATAATGTGCAAGCAGCAAGCATTTTGACGATTGCTTCAAAAGATAAAATATCAAGAATAGTACATTTTATGGATTTTATTAAAACTTTCTAATTTCAAAACCACAGACAATAAGAGCAGCTTTGATTAATCCCTAACAACCCACAAAGATTGTTATTAAAAATGTTCTTTTAAAAAACAAACCTAGGATCAACTCAGGTCATTGTAGTGCCGACCTAGGGGATAATTGCGAGAATGCAAATGAACCACAGGACTATGGGCCTAGAATGATCACAACTGTACCATTACGTAAGTAAATGATAAAGAACTTGAAAAATAACAGCAGTTAGTTCTTGTTTTCTTTGTACCTTCCCAAATGTGTCATGATCCCAAACTTCGACAATAAGCATATCATGTAGTCCATCCTCAACAACAAAGTCAAATGTTTGATTCCAAACAGGATTCAAGTTGTTGTTCACAACCTGGAAAAGGAAATTAACAATGAAGTAAATTATACTCTGAAGCCAGAGAGAGCAATAGTAACCGCTGAAGATATTAAGAAGCTAGGAGCATGAGGTAGAAGTGCAAAGATAAATAAAATCCCCTTCTTCAAGGGTCTCCTTCACCATAAAAAAATGCATAAGGAACAGAAAAAACTAGAGGTGGAAAGGCAAGGTTAATGAAGAAATCACAAGAAAGACAGCAGTTCAAAAAGAAGAAGAAAAGAAGAAGAAGAAGAAGTTGTTCATGGTTTGGAATGAAGCCTTTACCCTGGTCTTGTTTCTCATCTCCGATTTCTTCATTGTTAGTGTAACAAAGGGGTCAGCCTTACCCATCAAATCCACCACTGGCAGATCTTCTGCAGAAATGACAGTGATGGAGAGAACTCCTCTAACGATAACCTCTCTTCTCTTCTTTGTGACTTCATTTACATTTCCAGTAATTTCCATACTGTTTGCGCCGTTTTTAAGTACCTTCTCTAAAGAAGTCATTGAGAAGCTGGAGGCAAAAGAGTTCCCAAAGCCATTCTCCATACCAAAAGGAAGGTACAAAAGTTCCAGGTGCACCTAAAATCAAACAATAGTTGAGACAACAATACAATTGAACAGTCATCATGGTACTACCCTGGGATGTAAAAGGTCTCTCAGAGTCTTCATGATAATGTATTTCCAAAGGGAAGTGACAAGTGTTCTCACCTGCCCCCTGTTTTTATTATCTCGTTGGACCTCCAAATCCTTGACCAGCTTCAACCACAAATCCTTCACTTTACCAGGCTCAAGCTCATTTAGTTTTACTTGGGCGCACCCGATGAGCTCAGCCGCCTGTATCCCCTCATCATCATAAATTTTTACTACCAAGTGTTGAGTAGTTGCATCTTCAACAACAAATTCAAAGTGTTCGTTCCATATTGGATTCAGATCATTGTTCTACAGGAGAAAAAACGAATTCATTTCAAATCAAGTTTAAAACAAAACCCCTCAAAAGAAAATGTTGTTTTAAATTACACTACTAAAATGCTTAAAAATATCTCACAATTATTTTGGTGGTTTTCGTTTTGTCAGGTAAAGGGCGTATGTATAACTTGGCGAAGGGATCAGATTTCCCAATGAGATCTTTATTCGTCAAATCCTTTGCCTGCACAAGCTTCACCTCCAATATTCCCACAGGCTTTAACTCCAGGTCACTGCACAATAGCATTATTAGCTACTTCATTGAATTGACAAAACAAAAACAAATGCAGCCAATAACCACCACCACACCCTGCCCCATGGTTCCACCCTCTCTAGCAGGTAGAAAGGAGAAAATGAACCACCACGAATACCCCTTCTTAGCAGTCCTATGGTTCCACCTTCTATGGCTAATTGAAAGGAAAAAATGAACCATCACCACTTCTGGACAGCTCAACCAAGTATTTAAAGAGAAAGAGTTAGTATACGCAAGCAAGAGAACTTAACACAAGGTGCCAAGTCCAACACTTTGTGAGCGTGTAAGGAGATTAAGAGTTGCATTAATTGATAATCTCAAAAGCAACTCTTCCTAGCATGTTTTTGGTAATATGCCTGCAAGGTATAAAAAATTGGACCACAGCCACCTCATGCAACTCCATGTTTGCTTGGG